CTTGATTTCACATAGACTCAGTCTACCTGAGCTGATCAAGAACCTTTCAACACATCGATTTGTTCTACTATTTGATTTCGACATGTCTTATCCTAATATCGACGCATTCTATCCTGTTCTACTGATCGACTGATTGGTCTATATACTGATCCGTTTCACTGATCCAACTAATTCTACGCATTCATTTCACATTCATCCACGCTCTAATTTTACTTTTGTTTGCTCAATCGTTGACCTGTACCACTGATCAACGGGCACACAGTGGTGGCATTCTACCGATATCGTCACCCGTTTGTCCACGAATCGACTTTGCCCACTGATTAATGCACTTTTGTCCGCCTAAGCGCCGATCCATTTCAGTCGCTATCTCTGCCGTGCACACCGCGTTTGTCCAGTCGTCGACCTGTTCCACTGGCTCTCATCTACTCGTGCCTGGTCACATATGATCTCGTTCCACCGATAAGCTCACCTGCACACCTAAGCGTGTACCTGTTCTACCGTGCCTGACTATACACGATTCTGTTCCACTAATCTCCACCGTTCGTCCAATCTTGACGTCACTTTTCAATAGAACCCGGCAGAAACGTTGAATTTTCATCCCGCCAGCTTCGAATATTATGATCGTCATCGTCGTTATTCAGCTCCCGGCAATCGAATCAACGGTTTGAACCGCGTACACAGCGTTGAATCACCGTTAACGCGAATTATTTCGTTACTGAGCTATCGCAACAGATGTTTGCGGCGGGTGGGTGGAAGGCCGCGCCAGTGATTGACCCATTTCACTGGCAAATGCGAAAGGTTGTAGATTCGTCGCGGCACGTCCCGCTTACCATCAGGTGGCGAGTGGTATCCGGCTTCCGTTCCGCCTGTTTGTGCGCTTACCGGCCCCCCTCGTCCTCCTCTACCCCATCTCTTCGCTATTCGTCAAGGCTGCATTTACCGGTTTTCCCGCGTTTCAGCGAGCACGAAAACGTTGTCGGTTGAATGTGGATTTTCCAGCGCGAGTTCTTCGTGGAACGATGAGTTTCGAAAAAGGGGACTGGTGATCCTTCGAGCGCGTTACCCCCTCGACTAAAGCGGATTTCCAGGTCTCGCGATTAGTAAATAAACGAAAGGCTTTTTTGTTCGTGTTCCGGTGAGATATTTTGGATTTTCTTTTGGTGAAAGGGGAATTTTGCTATATTTCAGCGAATACCCGGGCTGATATTGTTGAATTATAGTAAAATGTAAGAGAAGAAAGAAAGTAATACATTTGCCAAATCAGACGTGCAATTTGTTACGCAAAAATGTCACCGGAGACTAATAAAGGGGACACGTGCTTGGCGGGTTGCTCGTTGCCAGGCGCCAAACTTTCACATTTCTCAATTCTTCCTTTTTCACGTGAGTATTGTGACTGATGTAATTAAATATCGTTAAAATGTGACAATAAAAACGATGTGGTACAGCTTCCATGTGCAATTCTTTACTCCGAACTTGCCGAGAGTCTCTTAAAGGGAATAGACACTTGGCGGGTTGCTCGTCGCCGGGCGCCAAACTTCGAAATCTTTAAACCTTCGTTACTCATGAACGGAACGAGATAGAACACATCTTCATGCGAGGTAAAATATTTCTCTAATATTCCCCTACAATCCTCCGCCCCCGTGCATCAATTTATTCCTCATAATTTTCGATAAATCTTGTCGGCTGAAATTCTTCGCAGCGGAAACCACGTGATATTAAATATCAATTAACAATTTCACAGTAACTGTGCAAAAATTGCAATGCATTGTCGAATTATGCTTTCCAAATGATATTTCGATGTTAATTTAATCACAATTACCAGCGTAATGATAAATTGCAGTGGACAATATATCTTCCACATTTCGTTGCTTCTCCTTCTCAGAGTGAATTTTTAATTCAATTTGTTTCAATGTTTCCCACGAGTTCAATCTCAAACAATGTGCCCGTTCTCTGGGAAAACCTATTAATAAACTAGCTAACGAACTTTAGCTGCACTCGTGCCGCGCGATGGAATTGAAGAAGTAACAAAGGTGACGTTAAAGAAGTTGTGCTGTTACGCCGTGCAATTTAACAGTGAATCAATCCGGATGATGCTCCTCTGTCAGAGAACAACAAGAATATCTTAATGAGCGTTCACGAAAGAATAAGTAAACACCAAGCTTACTTCTAGATGTCACACTTATTGTTGTTTCATAATGGCAATTGAAATCCTCGCGTGTCAGTTACATCTTTATTTTTGAAGAAATGTACAAATTAAGGTTGGCTTAATGTAACTGATCAGAACCTTCTGAACAGTTCGCATAATCATGAAATTGCTAGATAATGCTTCAGTCTGAATGACGAGTCTAACTTGTCAAAAATACTCAAGGGGACGAATTAAATTAGAACTTGCAAGGCCTAGCCGGATATCTGTCGCGAATATTCAAGTAGTTCGTGTACACAGAGAATTGGGCTAAGTTATTTACACTCACCGAGAGTGAGACTGCATCTAGTTGTCTCCGCGTTGTTGACTGGAAATAGACAATATACAACGCGAATTATTGAGAAACAGCCGCTGACAAGCGACTGCAACGTGGCTCGAATTTAGAATGACGTGTTCACCTCGACATTCGTTCACCTAGAAGCGCTGCGGAATTTTTAATTTTGGAACAGATAGCAACGCAGGGCAAACAGGTTTTCAGAAATATGATTTCTGAAGTTAGAGACAATCGCTGAAAGAATTTTAGGGTTCCAATGTCAATTTTCACGATTCTCAGAAATACATCGAAGAATTTCGATGTGCAGAAAGTTCGTTGCTTCTTCAAAATTAAACACATTTGTTGCAGTAAAAAGTATCTTACATTGGATGCATAAGGGCTCTAAAGTACGATCTTGCAAAATTCCAATTTTCTGATTGCCAAAGTTGCTTGCTAATCGTATCAGTTCCTAAATTAAAATCGTGCGATCGTCGTGACCAATGCGATCCCACATTTGATCCACCAAATAGCCAACGATCCGTTCCATAGGGGCCTGATTAACCAACGATGCACAGCTATGCTCGTTTCGTCCTCGATAAGCTGCTCGTCCCGCATTGGACGGCTCCTCCTTTCCAGGTCCGCAATAAACACTTCACGGAAAACAGAAAAAGACGAAGAAAGGAAAGAAATATCGCCGTAAAAAGCTGTCGTAAAATATATTCAGCTGCAAGAAGTTGCAGCGCGTCGTTTCGAAGAAAAGAAAAATGAAAAAGGGAGAAAATTATCGTGAAATAAATTCGACGGCAATAAGGCTTCTGCCGTCACTTTGAAGAAAAAGAAGAAACGAAAATAGCGAGAAAAGAAAATAAATATCGCGACAGGAAATTGTGGCACTATAAATTCGACAGCAATAAGTTGTAGGCTGTTCTTTTCATGTGAAACCAGGCATACGCTCACACGATACGGAAATGGCAACTGGTCGTAGTTACTTGCCCCTAATATCCTAAACCATAACGCCCCCGGTGTCTGTGATTTGTGTGCACGATAAATCCGCTAGAAACTTAAGTCCCGATCGTGAATACGATTTACGACTCCGTGATTTATAGTCCCCAGGATTTACGTGAAAGTTGTCCTGGCTGCTTATTGGCCAGCGAGGAGGGGAATAACACTTGCGCTCATTTCTGACCCAATAGATACCAAATTAACTTGTGCAATAAAAATTCGATGTAACCGAACTCACGTGGAATTCTTTTTTCCGAGAGATTGCCTCTGAAACGGTGCTCAAAGAAAAATTGTCCAGATTTCAAGGACCTGATAAAAGCATTCGTCGCTTTGACTCCATCGAGAGTGTACCTCGAGCATCGTCAGAAACCAATAGGGATACTTTAATCAGAATTGCCCAGAGGAGGTCGACTTTGTAGATGGAACTTTGATCAATCGTACTGTTGAAAAAATCTGCGGGATATTTCATGAGCTCGGAGAATAAAACGGAGGCGTGCCCTTTAAATCCCGCTCTTTTCCGACTCGATACGACGCGCGACGCCCCGAATTGTCATTGATGCGCCACCGAATTCCAGGAAGCAAGCTCCACCCAGAGCTTTTTTCCTGGAAATGCGTACGCTGTAGTAAAAACCCGGTGACTCAGCGTCGTTCAATGGGCGGTGCGCGGGGATAGGTCAGTGATACGGGTGAGAGTAAGAGATGCGAGGTGCGCGACGAGGATAGTGTTCTATCGGGGCATTGAAAATTGTGGTTCTCTTTAAACGACGATATCTCGGCAAGGGACGGTCGCATTGAAGCGAAAAAAAGAGCGTTTCAAAGGAGAGGATCCGGGCTTGGTGTGACGTGGACGAATGTTCAATTTCGGTGACGTACAGTGGGTGATCGAATTATTAGTGCCGCAATAGGAAAAATGTCTTTTTTTTTTTGTTTTTGCGTAGAAATAAAATCACAATATCAAGGTTTTCACGCTGGATAATTTTTAATTGACGATTGCTCACTAAAGATACACGAAACAGTTAAACTTAGCTTATGTAGTTATAAAAAATACAGTTAAGAAGTGACAATAAAGTTGGTATTTGGTAGCGCTACCTTTTGCTGCAATTACAGCCTTGATTCTTTTCTCGATACATTTGAAGTAATTCACTGTGCGTTATAAGTAGTGAAAACACTGCGACGAAAATTCAAATGCTCAAGATCTGCAACACGTGGTTCTCAAGTGGCAATTTGCAGTATTAATACAAAATAACGTCCATACGACAGATAATGTTGCCTAAAGTGTCGCCAAGTGTGTATTTGCAATTTTTTCAACGTCAACGCTTCATAAAAAGAAATAATGAGAATTCGGTATAACTAGGTTTTCATCTGAAAATTAATCCTTATAACGTGAAACCGTCAATTTCTTACAGGTGGCACTAATAATTTCATCACCCACTGTGTGTTTGCATATCTTTTCTTTTTTCTATCGTTTGGACGTTAAAACCTGGGACACCCTGTATATTGTTTCTACCTTTTCACCTAACTTATGGTTATATTATTAAACAGGGGGATGAGAGCCAGTACGATGTCGAGGGTGTGTTCGAGTGTCTTCCATGCGCGGAGGGCTGCGAGTCTTGCGAGGACGATTCCCCATGCGTGGTATCCTTGAACTGGCTGATGAGAACAGCCATTCTCATCCTAGAATGCTGCGTCATCGCCTGTTTGCCTGCCGTCGCCCTTTTCACTTGGAAATATGGAAATGTGAAGGTAAGTGTCTGTAGCAATTGTATTCTCCTTTCCACCATTCAGATGGATCTGTTTTCATAATTCACGTGATCTCTGTGTCTCGGACAGTCTTCAAGACGCAATTTTTCAGCTATCTTATCGACAGCGAAAGTTTCGGGGATGCTAAACTACCGAACACCGAATTTCCAGGTTTCTCTTTGAAAGTTATCCAAACTTGATTAAACAACAAATTAAATTGCAAATGAAGTTATAATTTAAAATTACAATTTCGAAGCGCTTCGGCGCAATTTAGCCCATAGTTCGAAACGTTTCTTTGAAAATTGATTAGCGTCGGAACAATCAGCTCTTCTGTATCTGTTTAATTGCTCTGCTGCTCTTCCTTTCGCTTGCATAGCGTAATAGAACTGTTCACAGCAGCGTCCTTGTAATTATTTTAGGCGGTGTAAATATTGCTGAATAATTGAAGAATTTCTATTTCGTTTGATTTGTCCTGAAACCTTTTCGACAAAGTAGTGTATTCAGAAGTAGTCCATGCTCCCCGATGTTGCTTCGAAGAGAAAAATAAACACGAGCCCAACAAAGGGATCTGTCAGATTTCAAAGATACCCTCTCTGGTTCACCAGAAATCGATCGGAGAACCTGCACGCTGAAAAAAAAGCAACGAGTGACGAGAGGAAATTAATTAACCCAAGTGCAGGCAACCCGTGCAACAGCGTTGTTTCACCGGTGGCCAGCGTCCTGCCTCTTCAGATGCAGATTGCTCCCTCTGCATTGCAAAGTTGGCGGTACAGTTTTCGATGTGAATCGAGATTGTCCCCCTTGTTTCGGCTAACTTTTCACTGGAATTTCCAGTGAAAGATGCCCGAAAAAAAATACTCGCTTCGTATAGCCAGTTGCTAGCCAATCGATGAACAATCCGCGTCGGAAACGTACAAACTTTCACCAGTTTCCATTGCCAGTCGATAATGGAAACTCTTCACTGAGCGAACCCTGTCCCGTTCAATCATCCAGCGTGATTAAAGAGAGAAAACCGACGACCCACGATCAGTTTTTAATTCCGCGGAGCCTACGCCTTCGCTGATTGCTCGTTTCGCGTGCACATTTTTGGAAAATCACACGGTACATGACTGGAAGGGGTGTGCACGTTGCCTCCGGAAATTGAAAGCGTGGATTGGTTGGAGCGGTTGCCTGTTTCGCCGGGGTTTTTAGGCGGTTTCTTGGGAGACGTGATTTAAATACAGAATTCCGGGGTAGAATTTTGAATTTTGATGGATTTTCAGAGTAGTTGCGGAGGAATGAGAGAGTGTCTGGGGATTTGGGGCGTGTCTGAGTCTGCTTATGGATTCTAGGAAGAATTGAATGAATTTCGAGGATATTCGTGAGCGAATAGGGTAGTTTTTGGCATCCGCAGAATGTTCCGAAGATTGTCTATGAGTTAGGTACGTGATTCTTCAGGTTTTGAAGATATTTGTGAAGAGATGAGGGAGTATCTAAGGTCTCCAGACTGTATAAAGTGTGTTAAGTAATTTCAGATTTTTTCTTAAAGACTTTTTTCACTGAATAAAGAAATAGTCTGGGTCCGCTGATGGATTTCACAGATTACGTCAATTTTGTTGGTTACATTACAGAGCGTGTGAGTCCAAGCATGATCTACAACGAGGACTTTATGATGGAAGTATGAATTTAAAAAAAAAATAGCATGGACATTCGTCCGAGAATGAAGTAGCCTGCTGATGGATTCCATAAATAATTTTATGAATCATGAAAACTTCTACGATTGAATGGGGATCATAAAATTTTGGACGAGGTCTTCAAAAAAGATTTCATAGTGAATTTCTATATGTCGATGGATATCGAGGTACCTATGATGATATTTTTAGTTCCTACTTTCAGAAGGTATTTCTGAGATATCCACAGTATTCCAAGTCCTCTGCTTTGCTTCGGAAATAATTGAAAAAAAAACCTAAAAATTTCTCCTAATCATTCTAAGCCATCAAGATTCACCCAGCCCATATTTAAACCTTCTCCTCTATACGGTGACCCGGCATTAAACAAAATCAGGATATTGTACCCGAAAAGCATGTCACAAGTAGTCAGAATGTATCCACAATGCATTTTGTTAACGCAGCTTCCAGCGCTTCGTGTTTGTTGGAAGGTCGGGTTGGCGTTGATGAATATTGCACGTATGTGCCAACTGATTGATGTCGCGATAGTAATCGCACTTTATTTTCAATATCGATTATCGCGGACTGGACCGCACTTGGTGTTTAACAACGTCGAATATCGCGGACGAGGCCGCGCTCAAGGTATTGTCGAGTGTTTACTTAGAATTTCGTTTCTCTGGTGATTTTGCTTATCATGTAGGATTTTGTCAAGGTGGGAAGTTGACCTCATCGGCAAATCGTCGCCCTTTCACCCCCTAGAGCCGCCCTCCTAGGCCCTCGAGCACTCCCCCGTGGTCCGCAGAGTGGGATCTAGGCGGAGAGGGAGAGACGGTCCCAAAAGGGGTGTCAGCCCCGCGTGGCGATCTTGCCGAGACGTCGACTTTGCGGGTTTACGGCATGTTTACCGTTACTGAGCGCGCAGAGGCAAGTACCGGGTCACCATGTGGCCCGCAGAAGTTTCCGCGGCCACCAAGTAATAAACGGGATTTGCCCTCTGGCTTGAATAGGCTATTGTTGTCAAGGAAATCGTAAAAAAAACTTCTGAAAAGTAACTTCGCCTGGAATAAACACATTTGGATGTATCCAAAAGGTATCTATAAACTACCCGACTAGAAATTTCAGTTAGGCAGACATTAGGTCCGCATTAGGCCAGCCTGATTTGCCTGTTAGGCCCGCATGTGGTATGTAACGCGGAATATTCATGACCGCCTAATTGGAAAAGCCGCGTTAGGGCCGCGTTAGGGCCGCATTAGAATAGCTTTATTAGGCTGTCATTGGGAGACATTAATGAAATCTCACGAGGAATACCCCATCAAGACACTGTATGCCACCCCCATTTGTGCCACGTATGGCAACTGTTAGGAATGCCTAACTTAGGCGTGCGCTCGGCCACCCCCATTTGGGCCACGTATGGCAACTGTTAGGAATGCCCAACCTAAGCGTGCGCTCGGCCACCCCCATTTGGGCCACGTATGGCAACTGTTAGGAATGCCCAACCTAAGCGTGCGCTCGGCCACCCCCATTTGGGCCACGTATGGCAACTGTTAGGAATACCCAACTTAGGTATGCCCACATTCGTCTTTAGGCATGCCTAATTGAAATTCTAGTCGAGTATGTATCACGAATCTACACAGTATCTTTCAAGGTATCCACGAGATTCCTAGAAGTTACCTAGAACTCTTCGGATACCAGAAATAACACCACAACAATTGCAAACTGTTAAAAATTGCCAGGACTGTGCCCCAAATGACACGATGATCCTAATGCATCTACTTGAAATAACGACAGGGGGGTAGCTTTCGAGTTGCAGTTTCGATAGCTGAGCTGGAATAGCCTCAGGTTAATAAATTGTCTTTAATTAACCGGAAACGGGGGCCGAAACCTAAGCTCCAAGGCACTTCCTGCAACTACGCCGCGAGTTGTTACGGGAATTTATTACGCGATCGCCCAAAGACAGAATTGTTTCAACCGGCTTCAGGAGTTTCCTCAGCAAGTCATTGCTGATAAGATTTCCACCTGGATTATGAACCCTCTCCACTCTAACTATGCTAGCTTCACCTCTGAGCTTAACTTCCAACTAACTGGTAACATTATTACATCCCATGACACATATATACAGGGTGTCCCAGGTTTTAACGGCCAAACGTTGTCAGTATATTCCACGGGTTGAAATTAAAAAAAAAATGTTATACAAACATAGGTCTTTTGAAGCTATATTAAAGTTATGGCAATAATACAAAATTAAGAGAACAATAGCAGACTCGCGGTTACAGCGATAGAATACAGCAATAGATTGTATAAAATGTTTTCAATTTTGAATCGGTTTGATGGTGCTGAAGCGAGCGAAAGAGATAATAGTCTGGGGAATAAGCTGCACGAGGCAGAATTTCCCATCCCAAAGATCTTTCGCTTCAAGAGCACTTTTTTTAAGTTGAAATGCAAAACTGATGCAGTGTCTAAGATGCTGTTTATCCAACGACATAGTGTTCTCCACTGTTCCTTAGGTTATGCCATTAGTCACATCGAGTCCGATAGTGTTTTGTTTTGCTAATAGAAGCAACTTCAGAACTCTGACACAGCGGGAAAAGAGATTCGGTTCAAAGTAAAGTTACAGCTGATTAATCGCAAGGGCCACGAATTCATTTGTACACCTAATAATTTCACTGTTGATTTATAAAGAAATTTTATTACTGTGAATTTTTCCACCAATTTTTTCTGCACCGCTTTTATACGTTCGTTATATTTATAATTTTTTCCAACGCCCGATTAAATATCATATCTGATTTTCCATCCAGTTTTCCATCCGCGCGGGAAACTTCAACGTTGACAATTTTGTAACCAATTTTTTCCACTCCCGTCGAAATGTTATTAATAACACAGCAGGCACCGGTAACGACGAAACAGGATCGTTTATTGTTCCAGGAATCGA